CAAGGCCGGCCAGCCCCGCTTCTCCCGTTTGAGTCGGGGTCCCCAGAGACTCACCTGGAACTGGAGCTCAGAGCCTGAGACTCCCTCCAGATTGAAACAGACAACCGAGCCCTCAGCCGCCAGCCCGCTCCGTGTGCATGCACCTTTGTATTTTACTTCAGCACTGCGCCTCCTCTGAGTCTCGGTATGCTTTTCTCTTTCCTTCTAGTTGTAGAATTTCCACTCAGCCAGCCTTCCTGTGGTTCTGGGTGATGTCCGTTCTGTCTTTTAGTTGTATTTTTGAAGTGGTTGTACGAGGCAGCAATCTCCGGTGTTTACCTATGCCGCCATCTTGGTTTCTCTCCAAACAGATTAGCTCAATTTTTGTTGAGTGCTTTACCACAGAAGATTTCTCACCTCAAAACCAGACTGGATTCTAAATCAGTGTGTTGTAAGCATGGTCGCTAGCCTTCTGGGACTAGGGGAGAATGAGTTGGGAGTCTGTTTGCATGTTTTTACTTACTATTCCTATGTATTTATAGCTCTGAATCTCATGCCATTTTTCTATCCTTATACACAATATGACTGATTTTTCTGAACCTGAGTCAGTTAAGTCAATAATATTCAAAGACTAAATTTCTTATATTCCAAGGAGGAAATAGTTGTTGTCTGGATGGACATAGGGCAGTGATGGCGAACCTTTTGAGCTGGGCGTGTCAGCATTTTGAGAAACCCTAACTTAACTCTGGTGCCGTGTCACATACAGAAATTTTTTGATATTTGCAACCATAGTGAAACAAAAACTTATATTTTTGATATTTATTTTACATATTTAAATGCCATTTAACAAAGAAAAATCAACCAAAAAAATGAGTTCGCGTGTCAGAAGTTTGCCATCACTGACATAGGGATTTAATTGCTCTATATACAGAAGTTATCTTTTAATCATGCCATCAGCTTTCAATTCCTACCTTAGCTTGAAATTTATATGATACTAGAGGCCTGGTGCACAAAATTTGTGCATGGGGGGCGTCCTTCAGCTTGGCCTGCATCCTCTTCAATTGGGAACCCCATGAGGGATGTCCGACTGCCATCACTAAACAGGCATTTGGACATGCCTCTCACAATCCAGGACTGCTGTCTCCTAACTGCTCACCTGCCTGATCACCCCTAACTCCTCTGCCTGCCTGCCGGATTGGCCCTAACCACCTCTGCTTGCCTGCCAGATCACCCCCAACTGCTCCCCTGCTGGCCAGATCGCCCCTAACTGCTCCCGTGCTGGCCGGATCGCCCCTAACCACCTCTGCCTCAGCCCTGCACCCGGGACCCAGGATTCCCTCCTCCAGCCAGCCACAGGCACCCGGGCCAGCTTCACCCGGATCGGCCGCAGTTGCAGAGGACTGTGGGTGGGTGGGTGGATTCCCATGGGCCGCAGCCGCAGCTGCCTGGGACTGTGGGGCAGGTGGCTTCTCCATCTCCTGGGCCTCAGCCACAGGCGCTGACATCTGGGACTGTGGGCAGGTGGCTTCTCTGTCTACTGGCCGCAGGTGCTGGTGCCCAGGACCGCAGGGTGGGTGGCTTCGCCCGGGCCCAGCTTTGTCAGGAAGGATGTCCAAATGGTTGTCCAGAAGACATCTGGTCTAATTAGCATATTACCCTTTTATTAGTATAGATACCATTTTTTTAAATCCCCCTAGGGAAATGTATCTTGATTCTCCTCAGTATCTCTATTATAGACAGGTTATATGTCCTTTTGTTATTTTGTCATCATCAATGGCTGATATTAGCAGCATATTAGACACACTGAAGAGAATTAGTAAACTGGACAGTTGTGCTCAAGAATACTTTGAGACTAAAGCCTTGAAACACAGAAGAGAGGAATTTGCACGGGGTGGGTGGGAACATGGTGAATAGTGCTAGCACAGTCCATTTGTGGTTCCAGAGGGAGAGGAAAAAGGGATAGGGAAAAAGCAGTATTTGTGAAGAGACAATAATTCCCAAGCAACAGATTTAGGACACAATAGAAATCAAGTCATAGAAACAAAGAACTCTACACCAAGGCACATCATAATAAAATAGAAACATAATGGATTAGAAGTAGCCAGATGGAAAAGATATATCACCTTTCATAAAGGAAAAAAATATGGGTGCTAGAAAAAATAACTGGCCATCTAGAATTCTATATCTAGCAAAAATCTTACCAAAATGAAAAGAAAACCATTTCAGTCAAACAGAAGCTGAAATAACTCATCAGTAGCAGATCCACACCAGAGAAGATGCTTCTGTCTTTTCAGGGAGAAGGGCATAGCTCTCCAGTGGGAGCTCCGAGCTCAGAAGCAGGATTGGGATTCTTTTCATTTATCAGTATTCTCTTTCCTATTTAAATTCTTCATAAGAACAGTCTATATTTTGTCTCCCTTACTTATATCCCATTTTTAGCAGTATTCATTGCTGCTATTTTTATTGTACTGTTCTACTGAAAAGTGACTTCCCAAATGCCAAATCCAAAGGTTACTGTATTTTTTCATGTATAAGATACTGTTTTTTTCTAAAATCATTAGACTGAAAATCGAGAGGTGTCTTATACACAGAAGTCAACCGAGGAGGGTGCAACAGGGGTGTGTAGCTGCCCATACCTTGTCAAACAGACTTCCTCTAATCATAAGCCTTACTGTTACTGACGTCAGCTGCTGCCGTATAATTGGACATGGAGGTGGAGAGTGCACAGGTGCAACAGGAACTGAACCCATAAAGATATAAAAAATAAATAAATAAAAAGATAAATACCGGTAAGCGATTGTCTGACTGCAAAATTCAAAGTGAATGTAACCAGCTGTGCAAAAGAGCATGGAAAATAGAATTGCAGAGAGACGATTTAGACCTCCTCCCACTGAGTGTATGATCAGACAGTGGAGAAAACAGGAAGAACAACTCCTTAAGATGCCAAAAAAGAAGAAGGCCTTAAGAGGAAAACCAGAAAAATGTTTAAAATATTGATTTCTTAATTTTGGGTTGGAAAAGTGGGGGGCATCTTCTACATGGAGAAATATGGTATTTTCCTGCCCTTACCTTACTGGAATGTGGCACCCTTTAAGAGTGTTGCTAATCTTGTTCTTGAAATTTGCCTGTGATTCTGTGGTGTACTGGAGAATCTTCTGTGGTACTTTATATCTTTGTTGAGAAGCCCCTGGTAAGGTATTTTTTCAAGCTCTGCAGTTATTCTGATACTCGGCTATATTTGAAAGCGCTTGCTTTCTCTGTTTTCTTCTGTGATCTCATACGCTACTTCCCTTACTATTCTTAATTTGTCTTTCTCATAACTCTTTTTCCTGTAGCTTTTAATTGCTTCTTTCCCCTAAAGTTTGATCTTAGTCTACTCATAATGTATTCAAATTATTTCTGATTTATAACGTCTACTTCTCATTGTTTTAACCTGCCATCACAAGATTGTAATCTCCACAAGGGCAGACAGTTGACACATTTTAGTCTTTGCTGCCTGTCTTTCTTTGTATCTGGCATGCAGTAGGTGGATGCTCCATAAACATTTGTTGAATGGATGCATAAGTGAATTATCTCATATGTGCATATTGTTTAGTTAAGAAATATTTCTAGATCACAAGATAAAATGTTTTCCAACAGTTTCTATTAGTAGATTTATGGTTTTACCTTTCATATTTATGTCTTTAACCCAAATGTATATTTATATATCTATAACTACTACATTGGGCCACTTTTCTCTACAGCCAACTATTAAAAAAAAAAACCCTTTATTTTCTTATTGATTTGTGGTGTCTCCTTTATTTTTTAACAAGTTGGTAACTTGTCTTTACTTAGATTTAATACATTATCACCTCCTGTACAGTGACTTTCAAACTTTATAAACTGAGACTCACAGAAAGGAGTACATTCTCCTTTGTAAAACACTTTACACGTCTACATGCATGTACAAAATCTACAATGAAACTTTACAAACAGTACTCTGGTGAATTTACTGTGTATGAATATGCTCTGAGATTTTACATTGTATTTCATTTCATGTTTTAAACAAATGTTTATTATGATGACTGTGGATTATAAGCTATAGTTTATATAGCTTTCATTATACTCTGTGAAGAATACTGCTATATCTTAGAGTCACATTTATATTGTTACAATTATTTATCTTCCTTCTAAGTTATGTGTCTCCTTGAGCATAGAGATAATATGTAATTTCTTTTTGTGTCTCCATCACCAGGCATCTGACCCATAAATTTACCTGTACTCTATTTTTGTAGAATTAATACCTCTAGATGACTTATAGTAAACATAATATGTCTAAAAATTCTAGACCAGCAGTTCTCAACCTGTGGGTCGCGACCCCTTTGGGGGGTCGAACGACCCTTTCACAGGGGTCGCCTAAGACCATTGGAAAACACATATATAATTACATATTGTTTTTGTGATTAATCACTATGCTTTAATTATGTTCAGTTTGTAACAATGAAATTTGGGGCTCACCACAACATGAGGAACTGTATTAAAGGGTTGTGGCATTAGGAAGGTTGAGAACCACTGTTCTAGACTTTGCTTTTATATACCTTTTATTTTGAGGAAACTACATATTAGGCACAGTGTAACAGAAACAAAGGGAGCTTTTAATATAATATATAGTATGTATGTTTGAGTTGTCCATGTATAATTTTAACTTTTCAGTATTATAAATAATTGTTAATGATCAAGAACAGCATGTCCAAATATAAGTAATTTGACTTTTTCTCATGGGAATAATAGGCCTTCTTGCACCAGTTGCAATAATTCTGTGATGAAGTGCATAGTTGTCAAAAATAAACCTCTGAAACACATTCTATTTTTACTGTTCTGTTAATAGAATTTTTCCTTATGTTTCTTAAATTGTTGTTCTTTTTCAGTCATTATTTAATCTTTTGGAATTTAGAAGATTAGTTCTGAATTACAAGCCTCCGTCAAATGCTCAAGATTTACCTCGAAATCAAAAGGTAAAATTAAGCAGAGGTTCTTAATTTTTAATTTGTGTTTATTTTGGGGGCATTTGCCTCTCATCAAATCATGAACCAGTGTCAAATTTGAATGTCAACTCATTAATTTCATTCACTACTACAGTAACTTTCAGTTCTTTGTCAGTGTATTGTGAATATGAATTTTTCTTCACCTGTGTGACAGTATTCCAATTTTTTGTGTAAGTTTACTAATTGCTTTTTTTTTTTGGATTGTCCAATTTCAGTAAACTTTATAGGCTGCAATGTACAATTCAAGAACTTTCCTTATCTCCTGAAAAATTCTGTTGAAATCAAAAGTTTTTTCTGTAGATCATCCCTTTAAAAGCTTATTTTAGCACTGGCTATCTTTGCAATGCAAATCTATTTTGGTAGGCAGTATAATGCAAAAGCACAGATATGAGGACCAGGTTGCCTGGTTCTACTGTGGAGCTAACACAAGACAGATCATCTTATCTGATCTGTCTCTGTTCAATTTACTTATCTGAAAAATGTAAATAATAATGGCAGTTATTTTATCAAGTACTGTGAGAATTAAATAATATAAAACATGGAAAGGGCTTCTAGTACATAGCAAGTACCAGGTGTCAACTGTTAGTTATTGTATTGTTCATAGTAGCTTTTCAAAATATAGGACTGATTTGCATGCAGAAATTCATACTTACTGGGCAAAAATTAATTATGGAGATAATATGCTTGAGTGTAGGTCTTCTGTGATCTTCTCATAAACACATTGTAGACCTAAAGGAACTAGTTTTCATTAAAGTGTTGAACTTTGTGTGACCATTATTAGTAGTAATGATGAATTATTCAGTTACGTTTTTCTTTTAGTGTATAATTTTGAAAACTACTTTTCCTGCAAACATCTGAAACGTTTATAATGCAAGCTACTGGGAATATAGCTTGATTTATAACCAGTTTTTCAGTCTATAATCTTTAGATTATAAAGTGTCAGGCTGATAAACAAGCCATTTTCAAAAGGGAGCTAAGGTCATCTGACAACAACTCATACCTCCAGAGAAGCTAAACAAACCCCTGAGTCATCACAATGTTCACATGAAAGTTTGGGATTACTGCTGCCCTTTATTGCAATTTGCTAATTTGAACAGTCCTCTCTTCCAATGTGTCCATTGGAGTGTATTTATAATTTACTTAACATTATTTAAAATTATTACTTCCAGTTACGTTTTCATATGTATCTTGACCTTTTCTTTTATGTTCCTAGATTTTAGGGCTTTACAGAGTTTTAACTTCTTTTATTCTTCATAGTGTTGACTTAAATAAGTTACTTTTCTAATCTTGCATAATAAACAATTGTGATATCCATGCTTATATACCAGAGCTAGTTTGGGGGTTGTGAGAATGTTCAACTAAATGCGAGAGAAATACATGAACCAAGTCTTGAGCATCTTTCTAGAAAGATTTATTTCTTGCAGGGGAAGGGTCAGCATATCCAGGTGTTCCTTTAGCTTAAGATATAAAAAGAACTTCTATTTCCATTCAGAAAAGACACTTATTTAGAAGAATACCGTAGAATTTTGTAAAAGATTGTTCCACAAATGAGGTATTCTTTAATTTGGCATGGTGACAGCAATACATTCTGTATTGTTATCTTTGAAGCAAATATGTAGGATTTATAGGTAGTTAACCAATCTCTGATTGGTGCTACATTTAGTTAAGTTATAAAAAACACAGGTTTTTAAAAGGGTGTCAGTGTAACTTTTATCACTTATTATTTAATAATGCATTTATGTGTAGCTCATGCTTGCTGCTACTGAGTTTGAAAACTGTGTTAAGATATAGCTTACCCTGTGATCACTTAAATCAAAGCACAGAGATGCTATTTGCTTAAACTGCTGAGCAGGGTATCTTTATCAGCACTTAGAGGTTGCCAAAAATCATACATATTGAAGTGAGAAAAAGAAATGGAGTCTTTGAAATCAGTTTGTATTTTCGGTAGACTTGGTTGTTTCTAGCAGTCGAAACTAATTTTATGCGTTCTTATTTATTTGTACTCTTCAGATTTTAATGTGTAGTAGAACTGTGATGTACCAGAAATTTAAAGATAGATTCTCACTGTAAACATCTCATCCCTACCCACCTTCACACGAACTGTCATTGGCCTAAGAAGTTACAAACTGACGGCAAAGCATATGTTAACAATTGAAACACAAAGATGCATAAGCTCATAACACTTAGAAATCTTTATATAAATAGCTAAAGTTTTATTAATCATAAGGTTACCAGAGGCTCAGTGCACAAAATTCATGCACTGGTAGAGTCTCTAGCAGCTGTTGGCTGCGAGCTAGGTACTCCCTCCCTTCCCCCAGCTGGCTTTGCCCCCTGGTCGAACTCCCAGATGAACTCCCTGTTGAGGGGACAATTTGCATACTATGCTTTTATTATATAGGATATTACATAAAGTCTTGATTTAAGAAAATTTCCAAATAATATCTCCCCACTTTTCACTACTCACAAGTGAGAAGCATATGGGAAAGGAATGTGTTTAGTTGAACACCCAACTGTATTACTACACAAATACATGAAAGAATTTTGAATTTTACAAATAAAGGAGCCATTCTGGAATTTCTGTCTTTAACCATGATGAGGTAATAGAGACTGGATTTACAAGTCTTTGTATATTTTAGAGGATTCAAAGCATAAAAAGTTTGTGTTCTAACTATAATGAAATTAAATTAGAAGTTGACAAAAAGATATCCAGAAAAATCTCCCTGATAGTTGGAAATTAAATAATATGCCTTTAATCCAAAGGACAAAGGGATAGTTCAGAATACTTTAAACCAGATAAAAATAAAACCTTACATATTAAAATTAGAGGGATGCAGCTAAAAACAAAAGTAATGGTAAGTAAAAAATATATGAATTAAACATCTTATTGGTAAATAAGAGTGGTTTCAAATTAATGACAACAATTTTACACATCAAGAACTAGGTGGGGAAAGGCAATTAATTTGAAAGCAGAAGACAAGGAATAATGAAGATGATAGAATAAATCAGTGAAACAAATCAGAAAAATAATAGAGAAAATTAATGGAATTAAAAGCTACTTTTTAAGAAGATTGTTAAAATTGATAAACTAGGTAGACTGAGTAAGAGAAAAGAAGGAAGAAACAAATTATCAATATAAAGAATAAAAGAGGGGCATATCAGTACATATTCTATAGATAATTAAAGAGAATAGTGGTATATTATAAACAGATAAATATCTTAAAACACACAAGCTATTGAAGCTCACTGATAAAAAGATAATCTGAGTATCCATATATTACATTAAAAAATGAATTTTTAAAAATAATAGTGGAACAGCCACCAAAAATTTAACAACAAAATCATTCACTGGTGAGTTATACTAATTATTTAAGAAAGAAATAATACCAGTTCTCTAAATACTTTTCCAGAAAATTGAAGAAGAGATAAAACTTCCCAACTCACTTATGAGCATAGGATTTTCCTGAAACCAAAAGTACAAAAAGTTATTCAAACAAAAGAAAACTACAGACGAGTATTCCTCATGAATGTAGAAATAAAAGTTGTAGCAGATTTTGGCAAATTGAATTCTGTGGTATGTATAAAGGATAGTACCTTACTGACAGGTGGGGTTTACCCAGGACTACAAGGTTGGTTATATGTTCAAAAATCAGTATAATTCACCACATTAACAGAGACTATGGAAGAAAACCATATGATTGTCTTAGTAGATGAAGAAACAGGGTTTGGCAGAAAGCTAACGTTTATTTATTGCAAAATCTCTCAAAACTAGGGATAAAAAGAAACTTTCTTATCCTGATAAAGCTCACTTATGAAAAATATTAAACTAATATAAGACTTAATGGCAGAAGACCAAATGCTTTTCCCCAAAGATGAGAGCAAAGCAAGGATGTCAACCCTCACCACTTCTATTAAACATTAGACTGGAGTTTTTAAGTAGTGCTGTAAAGCAAGAAAAAGAAATAAGCATGCAGATTGGAAAATAAAGCTGTTTTTTGCATGTTTATGACCTTGTCTCTGTAGAGAATCTCAAGTATTCTACAAAAAAAATGCTTAGAAAAAAGAAATGATGATCAAGGTTACATGATACAAAGCAAACATACGAAAATCAATTATATTTCTAAATACTTGCGATACACAATTGGGAATTTAAATTTTGAAATACTTATATACAATAGCAGAAAATATGTACTTTTAGGGGTAAAATGAACAAAAGATATATATGGAAAACTATAGAATATTACTGAGAGAAATTAGAGAAATAAAAAGATATATATCATGTTAATGGATCAGGGCGTTCAATATTATTAAGGTGTCACTTGTTCTTGATTTAATCTGTTTATTCACTACAATCCCCATCATAATCCCAAGAGGTTTTTTTCATAGGATTGACAAACTGATTCTAAAATTTATATGGAAAATCAAAATATGTAGAATGGCTATAACAATTTTAAAAAGATAGTGTTGGAGGAGTAATTATCAGGCTACAATGATCAAGAAACTGCTATTGGCAAAAACAATGGTCATATAGACCAGTGAAGCATAATGGAGTCAAGAAATAGACCTACATATCTCAGGTGAATTGATTTTAGTCAGTGTTGCCAAACCAATTCAGTGGGCAAAGAAAAATCTTAAACTTACAGTGTCATAGGCAGAAGAATAATCCTCAGTTCTTACAGAATACTATATTATACAGGTATCCTGCTTTAGAAATCCATAGAGGAATTTTTGCTTTTATGAAAAAAAGTTGTTCCAGCAATAATGTAGGTCTTTCGTAAAACTGAAGTGGCATAAGTTGAACTTTCAGGAAGCAGAGGATACTGTTCACTACACGTTTTGGCTTAGGAAAAGCTTCATAGGAACACTCTACTTTAGATAGTGTGGGGAACATGTGTATGAAAAAAATATAATGGATTATAGAACTAAAAGCAAGAACTATATATAAAAGTTATTGAAGAAAACATAAGAAAAATTTAGTGTCTTGAGTTTAAAAGATGTCTTAAGTAAGATAACAAAAAGGCACAAATCATAAAAGAAAAAATTGATAAATTAAACAAAATTAAAAATTTGTAATCTTTGAAAATTATATACAAAGGAAAAGGCAAGCTACAGACTGGAAGAAAATATTAGCAAAACATGTTTCACAAAAAGGAATTGTATCTAGAATGTCTTCAGAACTTGTACAAGTCAATAATAAAAGTAACCTATTATTGTATTGGGAAAAATATTTGAATATATACTTCACCAAATAATATATGTAGATATATGCACATGAAAAAATGCTCAACATTTGGAAAATGCAAAATGAAACTAAAGGTGCTGTATACCCACAAGAAGAACTAAAGTTAAAAATATAACACATATGTAAGTGTTGTAGAATGTGGACCTAGAACTGTCATTACACTGCCAGTGGGAATATAAAATAGTGCGATGCCTTTGGAAAACAGTTTGGTTTTTTCTTAAAAACACCTACACAATCTAGCTCTTCCCTCTGGGTTTTTACTCAAAAGAAATGAAAGCATATGTTCACACAAAGATATGTGCAGTAATATCCACAGAAGCTAGAACAGGTTAATAGATAAATAAATGTGGTATATCTACACAATGGAAGACCACTGAGCAATAAAATGGAATGAATTATTATTAATATGCACAGTCATGAATGAAGCTCAAAATAATTATGCCTATTATAAGAAACCAGACTAAAACAAGTACATAGTGTATGATTTGATTTATATAAATTTCTAGAAAAGGGACCATGTTTGCCTGGGATGATTAGGAAGAGGAATGAGGGATGAAGAACCTTTGGGGCATGATGGATAGGTACGTTATCTTGATTGTGGTGATGCTTTCGTGAATATATATTACTGAAGCTCAAAAAATTGTACACTTTATACTATACAGCACAGTTTATACCAGTTATACCTTGATAAATGTGTTTGAAAAAAAACAGACCAATATTTGAATAGTTTTTATATGTGGTGGTATTTTCATAATTTAGCCAAATACAATAGCTGCTTTTAACATAATTTATGGTTTTGCCACTTGAAATTTAAAAAGTCATAGGTATTGTCTAAGAGAGAAATATATCATTATATTAAAGTATTTTCTTAATATGCTTTTTTAGCAGAATTCCACTTAATTTTCAAAAGTCAGTTATTTTATCTTTGTGACTTCACAAGGAGTGTTTCAAAACACTGTACTGACTTTAGATATAGTGATAAATGAAGAAATTGATCTCAGGAAATTGACGATATTTATGGAAATTATTTTGTGGATTGAAATTTGTAGTATTTACACTTTTAAAACTTATTTATATAGGACAATTGTAGGGGAATAGGAAGTACCACAGAAAAATCATGGGTCAGTTTTATATCTGATTTAAAATTTTTGCATTTAATGTTTATCATAGATAAAAAATTTATTATCCTTAAATAAAATGCATGTTTCCCATAACTTAGCATTTTTATGTCAGACAATGCTCTTTGTGATTACTCTATAGTTTTGGATCAAATATTTGGAATCAGTTTTATTCCCTTACACCTATTTCTTAGAATTCCTTTTTTAATGCATTCTGGGAGCAGCTGTTTCTATATTGTTTATATTAGTGTGAAAGCAATTATACACATATACACACACACCCCTACAGTTTTATGATGCTGAGAACTCCAACTCTGCAAACTTGGAAAACTTTTCTAATATTTAAATAGCATAAGTTTTATCTGTTAAAATTGATAAATTAGACTTCATTAAGATTAAAAACTTGTAATCTTTGAAAAATGTATATAAAAAGAAAAGGCAAGCCACAAACTGGAAGAAAATATTAGCAAAACATGTATCACATAAAGGAATTTTATTTAGGTTATACACAGAACTTGTACAAGTCAATAATAAGACAAGTAGCCTATTACTGTATTGGAAAAATATGTGAACATATACTTCACCAAATAAGAAATGCAGATATGCACATGAAAATATGCTCAACATTATAAGTCATTTGGAAATTTGTTACTGCAGGAGCTAACTGTCTAAGAACTACTTTTGTTGCCATAAAGTATTTCACTAAAATATGTGAATTACATTCTTTTAAAAGTTTCCTTCTTATTAAGTTTACAGTCTAATTGAGAAAAGTTGAGTAAGATTTCAGAGGAGCACTAGGTGGATGATACATTAGTCTAATATTATGATCTAGATGAATTGTTAGACTAATATTAGGATCATCACATGACAGTGGTAGTTGGTAATTTATTGTTGAATGAAAGACATTCATTTTAGTAGCTATGGAGTTTGAAGGGATCATTGACTTGGGGCGTCTGGGAACACTTCATGGAGGTAGAGGGATTTTTGATTAAATAGGTTTATCAAGGTAAAATACCTACACAGGGCCTGGTATGTAGCTAACACCCATTGTATGGTAATGATTGTTATTGCTGTCCTCAGCAGCATCTGGGCCTTGCTGAATGGAAAAGGATTATAATAAACAGACTTGAATGAGGAGGATATTCTTGCTGGGTAATGACATGATTTGCCATGAATATGTGGCATTTATGCTGAAATTGTGAGCTTAGCCTAGATACTTTGCTGTTTTTGTGCTTGATTCCTTCTTGAGTCTCCTAAATGACATCACTCTTCTTTAATTATGATACAGGAGTGCTGGACTTATTCCTAATCTATATTACTTAAATTTTTGTTCAGTTTTTAATGAATATCTGTTTACCAATAAAGATTTTGTTAATCTTCATTTAAAAGTCTTTTTTTTCTTTGATCCCATTAGGAGCATCGGAATTTGCCTTTTATGTGTGAACTGAGATATCTATTTGCACTTCTTGTTGGTACTAAAAGGAAATATGTTGATCCCTCAAGAGCAGTTGAAATTCTTAAGGATGCTTTCAAATCAAGTGACTCCCAGCAGGTAGTTCTATTGTGCTTGTTTATAAATAATTTGTATTTTACTTAATCTGATCACTCAGCAGTTTGTTCAAAGAGTCATATAATTGAAGATGTTGTTATTCATCTTTATTAAAAGTAAGCTGGAGCCATTTAAAACATTTATTTGGAGGAATTATTTTAAATTAAGAAAAGTAATAATGATCTTGAAAGTGTTAAGATAAATCAAAGTATCATTTATATTATGATTGAAACTGGTAAGTTACAACAATGGGTAAAAGTAAAAATTCTCTAAAACATGTAATTGAAAATATTCACAAATGTATGATAGCCCAATGCCAGTACAGTGCTTTTGAGATGCGTCTTTTTGCTAGCAGGTAATAGTTTTTCTTAATTATTCAGAAAGGTTTCTGATCTACATTAACTTAGTTATGTTGCTTTCCCCCCCCCTTCTAATCTTTATGTACTGCTATTTGAAAGGTTAAAGTGGGTGGTGCATGGGCTGGCTCAATAGCCGTCTCAGATGGTTATCAAAGAAAATTGAATTTATTTAAGGAAAGGGAATGGGAGATGGGGATATCCAAAGGGAAGGGCTACACAGAGAAAAGGGGGCCTTGGAGACCAGTTCAGTGGGTTAGCCACTGCCCATTGCTCCCCTGGTTGTAAGTCTTGTGGGGTCCCTTACGTGCCTATCACAGAATGGTCTTTTTTCCTAGGTTAGATTCCTCCCCCTAATCATCACCATTTTAGGTCCTACTGCTCATGCCTCATAGTAGAAGGACCTCCCCCTGAGCCGTCTTGGCTTCTGCTGGGCAAGTGCCCACCAGAGAAGTCCCGGTACTCTGCTGGTTGTACCCTGGGGAGGTTGGAAAGCCAGTTTTTCTTCCCTAAATGGGATGGAGGGATGATAATCCCCTTGGCAGGGCAATGCTGCTATCACCTAGTGTGCATGGAGCTGTGGCTTCTGACCTAATTAAACTTAGCCAATTTTCCTCCTTTCTTTTATTAACATCTAGCTAGTCTATGCTAACAATATCAGTATTTGCTTTTATTTATTGTTTTCAGTTTTTTAAAATATCTAACTGTCCCAGTGTCTGTTAGGTTAGTGTCTTATCTGTTATAATAGTTCTTAAATACGTCAAAATAAATAACATTCCTAAAAATGATCCCAAACCACCATTTTAGGGCACTCTTTCTGGTTTTAAGTGTTACCAAAGAAATTATTGGGCCAGATTTCCCAAACAGGAGTGGGAGTTGGGTTCTCGGGGTATCACTGAAATAAGAATTTTCAGAAGCTCCCATGGGAGAGTGAGATATAGTAAAAGGCTTTATTTGTGTAAAGTCATATTCTTACGGTTGTCAAGTCCCATGTCTGTTAACCCAGTCCTGAAAGAGGAGCAGCTGGGATTCCAGTAAAGCCAAAAGCAAAGCCAGGGTCCAGATTGTCTGTTTCATGTTGCAGCTGAGCTTAGTTCAGTATTAGGCTAGTTACAGTCCATCAGCCCATTGTGTGGGCTGATGCCCCCTGTAGCAGGAGTCACAGGAGCACAGGTACCAGGAGAAGCAAGAACCCAGAGAGCAAAAGCCAAGAAAGTGCACTCCTTTGTTCAGAAGTTTAAATGTTCATGTTTCCTGCTCTTGAAGTGGCCACATCTATTTGCTTCCAGGTGTGAATGACATGTAAACACCTTCCCAAGTCACTCAGACCTTACTAAGCATGCGACCAAACTGCCTTTGTCCAGTCTCTTACCCCATCAATCAGGGAATGGACTTGGTGAGTGTTAACTTACCAAAGCTATATAAATAGCATGTGAATATTAGCTAGTTTTCCCTCTATTCCTTTCCTGTTAAATAATAATCAGATTATTAAAATTGGTGTCCAATTTTCCCAACACCATTTGTTGAAGAGACTGTCACTGCTCCAATGTATGCTCTTGCCTCCTTTATCAAATATTAATTTAGTATAGTGGTTTGGGTCGATTTCTGGGTTCTCTGTTTTGTTCCATTGGTTTATATGTCTGTTCTTGTGCCAGTATCAGGCAGTTTTGAGAACAGTGGCTTTGTAATATAGTTTGATATCTGGTGTTGTGATCCCTCCAACTTTGTTGTTCTTTCTCAAGATTGCTGCAGCTATTGGGACTCTTTTTTTATTTCATATAAATTTTTGGAGTATTTGTTCTAGATCTGTGAAATATGCTGTTGGTATTTTAATAGGGATTGCAATTGAATCTGTAGATTACCTTAGGTAGTATGGACATTTTAATGATGTTAATTCTACCAATCCTTGAACATGGTATATATTCTTCCACTTGTTTATATCTTCTTCTATCTTTTCTTTAACATCCTGTAGTTTTCTGAGTATAGGTGTTTTGCGTCTTTGGTTAAGTTTATTCCTAAGTATCTTATTTTTTTTGTTGCAATTGTAATGGGATTATTTGTTTACTTTCTTTCTCAAAATTTATTGGTATATAAGAAAGCCATCAATTTTGGGGTATTGATTTTGTATCCTGCTACATTGTCAAATTTATTTATTCAATCTAGTAGTTTTTTGATGGAGACTTTAGAGTTTTCTATTTACAGTATGATGTTATCTACAAATAATGAGAGTTTTACTTCCTCCTTTCCAATTTGGATGCCTTTTATGTATTTTTTTTCTTGTCTGATCACTATGGCTACGTCCTCCAATACTATGTTGAACAAGAGTGGTGAAAGAGGGCATCTGTGTCTTGTACATGTTCATCTGGGAAATGTTTTTAGTTTTTGCCCATTGAGTATGATGTTGGCTGTCAGTTTATCATGTATATCTTTTATTATGTTGAGATATGCTCTCTTGCTTCCCACTTTCTGTGAGTTTTTATTAAAAAAAATAGGTGTTGGATTTTTGGCTAATGTTTTTTCTGCATCAATTGAAATGATCATTTGATTTTTGTCTTGCAATCTGTTTATTTGCTGTGTCACATTTATTGATTTGCAAATATTGTACTATTCTTGCATCCCCAGAATAAATCCCAATTGATCATGTATGATCATTTTACTGTATTACTGGCTCCGGTTTGCTAAAATTTTGAGGATTTTAGGATCTATGTTCATCAAGGATGTTGGCCTTTAGCTCTCTTTCTTTGTAGTGTCCTTATCTGTTTTTGGAATTAGGGTAATTCTAGCCTCATAGAAAGAACTTGGAAGTATTTGTTCCTCTTGGATTTTTGGAATAGTTTGAGGAGGATAAGTGTTAGTTCTTTGAATATTTGATAAAACTACCCTGTGAAACCATCCGGATCAAGGCTTTTGATTGCTGGGAGGTTTTTTTTATTATTATTATTACTGCTTGAATTTCATCAGTAGTTATCGGCCTATTCAAGTTTTCTGATTCTTCCTGATTTACTTAGGAATATGTCCATTTGGTCGAGGTGTCCCATTTGTTAGAATAAAGTCGTTCATATTATTTTTTTTTTGCGATCCTTTGTATTTCTGTGGGGTCAGAGAGGAACAGAGAGGGAGAGAGAGAGAGAAACATCAATGGGAGAGAACCATTGATGGGTTGCCTCTTGTACGCCCCCTACTGGGGATCGAGCCTGCAACCTGGGCATATGTCCTTGGCTGGAATCGAACCCGTGACTCCTCATTTTGCAGGCTGAAACTCTATCCACCAAGCCAAACTGGCCAGGACTCTGATTTTTTTGGGTGTCCTCTCTCTGTTTCCTGGAGAGTCTGGCTAGTGGTTCATCAATCTTGTTCTTTCCAAGAACCAGCTCTTGGTTTCATTGATCTTTTATATTATATTTTTGGTCTCTATGTCATTTATTTCTGCTCTAATCTTTATTATTTCCTTCCTTCTACTTACTCTGGGCTTTTCTTATAGTTCTCTTTATAATTCTTTAGGTTGTAGTGTTAGATAACTTACTCTAGTTTTTCTGTTTTTGTTTTTTTTTTTTTGAGTTAGGCCTATAGTGCTAGGAACAGAACTGCTTTCACTGTGTCCCATAGATTTTGGATTGTTGTGTTTTTATTGTTGTTTGTTTCCAGGATGTTTTTCCTTTCTTCTTTGACCTTTTTGTTAACCCATTCATTATTTAATAGCATGCTATTTAGCCTCTATGTGTTTGATTGTTTTTGAGTGTTTATTGTAGCTGATTTCTAATTTCATGCCATGGTAGTTTGAGAAGATGCTTGAAATTATTTCAGTTGTCTTGAATTTGTAGACACTTAGCTTGTGTCCTAACATGTTGTCTATATTTGAAAATGTCCCATTAGCACTTGTGAAGAATATATATTTCCTAGCTTTGAGGTGGAATGTTCTGAGGATGTCAATTAATTCCGTCTGATTTAGTGAGTCATTTAGGATTTGCTGTTACCTTGTTGATTTTTTGTCTAGAAGATTTATCTATTAATGTAGGTAGAGTATTAATGTCTCTTACTGTGATTGTACTACTGTCAGTCTCTCCCTTGATAACCTCCCGAAGTCTTTTTATGTATTTGGATGTTCCTATATTGGGTGCATACATGTTTACCCGAGTTATAGCCTCTTGTTGTATCGATCCCTTTAGTATAATGTAGTGGCCTTCCTTATCTCTTGTTATAGCCTTCACTTTGAAGTCTGTTTTGTGAGATATCAGTATTGCCACACAAGCTTTCTTTTTTTTTTCATTTCCATTTGCCTGAAAACTTTTTTTTTTTCATTTCTTCATTTTCACTCTGTGTGAGTCCTTTGTTCTAAGGTTGGTCTCTTGTAGACAGCATATATATGGGTTATGTTTTCTTATTCATTCAGCTACCTTATAGCATTTAAGCCATTTATGTTTAAAGTTATTATTAACTAGAGGCCCAGTGCAAGAAATTCTTGCATGGGAGGGGAAGGGTGAAGGGTTCCTCAGTCTGGCCTGCACCCTCAGGAGATATCTGACTGCCGGTTTAGGCCTGATCCTGGACCGCTGGCTCCTAACTGCTCGCCTGCCTGCCTGTATGGTCGCCCCTAACCACTCCTATGCCTCTCTGATTGCCTCTAACCACTCTCCTGCCTGGCTGATCGCCCCTAACCATTCTGCATGCCTGCCTGATAGCCCCTAACCACTCGCCTGCCTGCCTGATCACCCCTAACCACCTGTGCCTCGCCCCTCCTACCATGGCTTCATTGGGAAGGATGTCCGGAATGACGTCAGGAAGGTCATTCAGCTGCCCGGTCTAATTAGTATATGACTCTTTTATTATTAGAGACTAGAGGCCCGGTGCACAAAAATTTGTGCACTCGGGGAGTACGGGGGGTCCCTCAGCCCGGCCTGTGCCCTCTCGCAGTCTGGGACTCCTCGGGACATAACGACCTGCTGGCTTAGGCCTGCTCCCAAGTGGCAGAGGGCAGGCTCAATCCCTAGGTGCAGCCCCTGGTCGGGCTCAGAGCAGGGCTGATTGGGGAGTTGGGGCACTGCCCCCTGTCACGCACAGAGCAGGGCGGATCGGGAGGTTGCGATGCCACCCTCAGTCACGCTCAGGGTAGGGCCAATTGGGGGGTTGGGGCACCGCCCCCTGTCACACTCAAGGCAGGGTCAATGGGGAGGTTGCAGCGCCACCCCCTGTCACGCACAGAGCAGGGCCCATCAGGGGGGTTGGGGCTCCTTACCCTGTCACGCACAGAGCAGGGTCGATCAGGGGGTTGGGGAGCTCCCCCCTGTCACGCACAGAGCAGGACCCATCAGGGGGGTTAGGGAGCTCCCCCCGTCATGCACAGAGCAGGGCCCATCAGGGGGTTGAGGAGCTCCCCCCTGTCACTCAGAGAGTAGGGCCGATAGGGGACTTGGGGCACCGTCCCCTGTCACACCCAGAGCAGGGCGGATCAGGGGGTTGGGGCGCCGCCCTCTATCACCCACAGAGCAGGGCCGATCAGGGGGTTGGGACGCCGCCACTGTCACACTCAGGGCAGGGCCGATGGGGAGGTTATGGCTGATCAGGGGGGTGGGATGCCGCCACTGTCACACACAGAGCAGGGCCCGTGGGGGGCGGGGGGTAGGGGCGGCGCACCCTGTCACACACAGAGCCGCAGGGCGATCAGAGGTTGGGGAGCTCCCCCCTATCAGGCACAGAGCAGGGCTGATCAGGGGGTTGGGGCGCCTTCCCCTGTCACAAACAGAGCAGGGCGGATAGGGAGGTTGTGGCCCTGCCTCTGTCACACACAGAGCCGCAGGGGGAGCAGGGGGTTTGGGCGCTGCCCCCTGTCACACTCATCCCGGTGCCGGGAGGCCTCGCGGCTCTGCTGATCCTGCAGCTGGAAGGCATATTACCCTTTTACTATATAGTATAGAGGCCTGGTGCATGGGTGGGGGCTGGCTGGTTTGGCCTGAAGGGTGTCCTGGATCAAGGTGGGGGTCCCGCTTGGGTGCCTGGCAAGCCTGGGGGAGGTGGTGATGGCTGTTTGCAGCTGGTCGCACCCCCTTCAGGGTGGGGGTCCCCACTGGGGTGCCTGGCCAGCCTGGGTGAGAGGCTGAGGGCTGTT